CTTAATTTGCTGATTACAAAGTAACCTCATCGTTATAATTTATGTACCTAGGTGATAAGGGGCAAATGGGACACTTGACCAACTCTTAGCTTTCACGTAATGCTTTACCTTTAAATAAAATTGAGTAGAATTTTGCATATACTACAGAAAATGGGGCTCCCAGCACAAAGCTTGTATCAACATAAATATAATATTGAAAATTAATTATAATAAATAATATTTATTACAGACAGACTCATGCTTTTTTTTTTTTAAGGTATTTTAGTAATATGTTATTCATTATTTTTTATATATACTTATACTTATATTATTATGCAATAATACGAATTCATGAATTATTTTCTAAATTTAAATTTTCACATTATTTTTATTTTTATCCACAGGCGAACTTCTCGAAGCAGTCGAAATAGCCAGCTTACCTGAGACCAGCGGTAATATAATAAAAATCACAATGTCCAAAGAAAAAGAAAAATAACTCGAAAAACTGAAAACTGACTAAGAGATACTTAATGACTACAAAGAATAATAGAAAATGGCAAAAAAAAAAAAATAAATAAATAAATAAAATAAAAGCATATTAAAATAAAAAATAATAAATGATAGGCTTCAGAATTTTGTAGAGCTTAAGTATAAGGAAGAAATGAAAAGAAATTTAAGGAACCACTTTTTATTCCTTCATTTATAGCAGTCCTGACTGATCCATGGGTATTCATAATCAATATAACTTTTATATTAAATCCGTTTAAAAAATACTTTGTATATACCACCTTAAACAAGATAACCTATATAGACACTTGAACATATTAAAGGGTATCAAGCAAACTGGGCAAGCCACATTTCACGCCCCTACTCAGATGACTCTGCGCCATTTTCCTTGGCTCGCGGGCATATGGCGGCAAAGGACAAGAGAGACAACTAATTACCCCGAAACGGGTCGTCTGTTTAGTTATTGTGAAGTCATGAGAGCATTTCACACACATGGGTCAACAGAAAAAAAATTAATATATATATATTATATACTATATATGAATATAAAAGCAAAAATAACCATGCGGCACACATGGATAGACGTTATGCATTTTAAAGTACCAAATTAGCGAGAAACCAAATATGATATACGAGGGTGTGTAAAATGTTCTACTGTATGCGTTTGTATGCAAGCAATTTAGCGTGTATGCATAACACTATTCCATACTATACTATAGTTTACTATACTTTAACTCCCGCTCCATTACACTTTTCAATTAAAAAGCCAAAGCAATTTTGAAAAAATCGCACGCGTCACTTGTATTCTTGTGCTTTAAATGAGGGTATATGAAAACGCAGGGTTCTTTAGGCCAAAGACATGCTGTTCGTTTCAAAATAATTATTATTTTTAATTTTAATATTATTTCTTATATATTATTTAATTTTTTTTTTTGACTGATTTTAAAATTTTAGATTTTTGTTTAGCAATTTTTTAATTTTTATTTTTTTAAATTTTTTTTACTTAAGATAAAACGATAAACATACGAAATTTGAATATTAGGTTTAAAAATTCAATTCTACAATATTTTTTGTAGTTTTGTTTTTAAATACATTATTGTTATTAATCAAAAGTTTTCTTACCCAAGCATTTTTGTTAAAATAAAATAAAAAATATATATAAAAAATATATTTTATATTTGGTGTAGTTTTCTCAAATTCATTTGTATTTTCAAAGATTTCTTAGTTTATTACTTATATATTTTTCGTATAAGCCGTTGCTTTTCTTGAACCAAATATTATAAAATACATAACATAAAGTTAAGAGTCGGAGAATTTTTATATTTACGTTGCTTTTTAAATATTTATATGCTACAACTTGTTAAGTGTATGTAGGATTCGATGTTTCGATATTAGTTTTAACTTTCTGCTTTGCCATTTATTTATTTACGCTAGCTCCCTGGCGACCCTTGGCTTCACCTGAACCTGTCCATTATCCCAGCTGGCGGTGCCTTTTTTTTGTATTTTAGATAAAAACGTAGCACTCGCCAACAGCAACAACAACAACGAGAATTACAAAAAAAAAAAAAAGTGAACAGCAACAACTGGCACTAAACTGCTAAAAAATGCAAGCGCAAATATTTGTTTCTTGCTTTGTTTGTTTGCTTGTTTGTAAAACTAATGAAATTTTTGCAATATTAGCCAACCGGCTGCTCACCCGCAAAAATACAACAAAAAACTAAAGAAAGCTTGACCCCGCAAAGACAACAAAAGCAAAACAAAAAAATTAAAAGAAAATACAACAAAAGGCGGCAAAAAATTAACGCCACCTTTGACAAAAAAAAAAAAAAAAACGAAAACTGAAAAGGAATCTATATGTATATACAAAGAAATATGTATGTATGTACACATAAATGTATATACGTGAGCAACAAAGGCAGAAGAAGCCAAAAGACAAAGCCAGCGGCCGCACTCACAGCTCCAGTCAGAGATTATTATGTCAAGTCACGTTTATGAGCGTAATTTCGACAAGGCGCACGGCCACAGAGCAGCTGTAGCTGCATGGTAGATGTCTGTCTGTCTGTATATGTGTGTATGTGTGTATGTATATATTCATGTATAGAACAACTGAAGCCCCCAAGACCCACGTAACGGTGTCCGGATGCTGCTTATTAGGACGACATTGCAGCAGTTAAGTCACAGCCCGCGGCCAGTCAATAAACCGTTAAAAAACAACTTAAACGAGAGTTGAGGATATCTATATTTGGGCAGGCTTTCTTAATCTACTACAAAATATATAGCATATGCCATGTACAAGTAAGTATATAAATATATATCTATATATATTTATATATGAATGTATATACTTTATGTATTTATAAGTAAATAGTATAAACTATTATATTCTGACAACTATTTGAGCCATTAGACAATAGGTTTAATCTTTTTACACTTTGTTTATAATAACCATAATAAGGTGAAATTCTTAATAAAATTAGTTAATAAGTAAATAGAAATAGTATAATATATACATATAAGAAAAAAATTCAATAAAATAAAATATAATATATTTATTTATAAAAAAAAAGAACATTTGATTTTAAGATTTACTGGATCATTATTGAGTGGAACATTCAGCTGCGGTAACTACAATCAACTGGGATCACAATAAGAACAGTTTGCAGATACATCTAACTTTTAGCTCCTCTACAGCTGAATAAATTAGAAAATATTCTTCATTGAATTTTTAATTATTTTATTTGATTAATTCCGAGCTCAAAGCGATCTTGATTGCAACATTTCCACCTGATTTAATTATTTATTTTCATAGGAATTAAAAGTCATCGTTGTAAAAAAAAGTAAACTGTTTTAAATTTGCCTTCAAATTACATATATCGGAATATATGTATATCTTTAATATATTACTGTTACAATTCAAAACATTTCTTGGTCAACGACATTAGTTGCTTTGATCTGGAATGCTCTGTATATTTCTGGTGTAGTTTTGCGGACTAGTACCTCATATTTGGTCAGCTGTCTTAGCGGCAAATTCTCATACTTTATACTGCACTTCTTTTGGTCCAGATACAGGGTGCCAATGAAAATTCCACCATCAGTTCGGCCACGGCAGATGTAGACGCGCTCGTTTGTAACACTTGTGCCCACAGACACAGCATTCCTCTCCAAGAATCCATCGAAGCTGCGCACCCAGTCATAGCTGACCGTCTCATTGGACACCAACAGCTCGTATGAGGTGGCCTGATTTGCAACTGATTCGGTATTATATGTAGCGTATCCAGTTTCGGCCCTAACACGCGCTGGCAGCACTGAGCTCGAGTAAACCACTCGTCCCACGAAGTTCTCATAGCCGTATGAATCTTAGCCACCCAGGACGGCGTTTTCCGGGAAAGGCTTCGACTTGTCGGATAGGACCCACTTATCCGTGTAGTCGTAGATTCCGCACTGAATTAAGCCCACCAACTGGGCAACAATTAGCGCACAAGCAATAAGTTTCTTCGAAGAATGCATAGTAAATACTGATTCATAACAGATCGAAGACTGTTGGCCAGGGTGTACCTTACGGGTGTCTTATATATCTGCTGCTAATCAGTTCTCACTTATATCAGGTGCTATAAATTGTTTAGAATTGGGGATTACTTTTTGGAAGTAACCAATGATAAGGTGAAAGGTACTTTTTTATTCAGAGTACTTTAAGTCTTTTGGACTAATAAATAATAAAAACTATATTTACTACATAGTCAAAGACTTTTCCACGGAAGACAGAAAGAATATTAAAAAAAAAAAAATATATATATATATATATATGGAAATTTAAGTATTATTATTCTTATAAAAACCATTCTGTGGATCTGAAAAAGAATTATTTTTTATTTATTTGGGACGCCATACTCGTCAAGCGGACAGTAGAGAAACCAAGTTTTTAAATTGAACTGCTTAAGTTAGGGCTATGTTTTTTGATTTTGCTATAATCAAATACAAATATAATGACTATGTTCTATGACTATGTTCTATGACTATGTTCTATATTTATGTTCTACATTCTATTCTACATTTGCGATTTCTATATTTCACATTCGGCATTCTATGATGCCCCAATAGACTCTATGTCAGAGGATTCTATTTTTTTCCTTGTCCTTATTTCGATGTTTCATATTCCAGATTCCTACGAAATACTAAGCTTTTCGAAGCACTGCTTGCAACGTGAACTGCTTGCACGTGCTTTAAACTTTCACTTTACATCCTTGAATGAAAGCTTTGGCCGAAAGCTTTAGCAATAGTCCGCTCGAGCTCACATATAAAATATATAAGGACTTACAGCAAATATAAATTTTGCCCCAGAGAATGATGTGAAAGAACAAAAGACATTTGGCAGCAAATGCTTTGCATATGTCAAGCCAAGTCCAGAGCTCTACAGTATGCACCAGACCATGAACTACTTGCAATAAACAGAAATGAAATGCATAGCATACACAAGAGGATAGCACCGGCTCTTATTTCGTATTTATTAAACAATCTTAACCAATGCGCCTTGATTCATAGTGCGTCCAGAAAAAACGTGGCACATCGAACAGCCCAAAAAAGCAAAGCTCAAGCAGACTAATAATCGAACAGCCTAAACAAAGTTGAAAAATAGCACCGAAAGAAACTGAAAGTAAAGGCTATTGAAAAATATATACATATATCATAATAATTTTAGTTTAGGGTTCGTTTACCAATCAAATCGATCCAGCTATATATGAGGCTAGTTTTGTAGACCAGAATAACTCCCTTGTCATAATAGAAAGTGACGAAAATCGAACGATTTTTCGATTCTAAATAGGAATTATGGCTGCCATTGTCCGCTTTCCATGGCAGAAAAACACTTTGGCGCATATCGGTTAGCAGCGTCAGAGACTTGCAGTTGTATAGGCAATCGCAGATGAGTCCAGCTTCTTTTTGGGCCACAAAGGACTTTTCGCCGGGCTGCTCGAAGTTCTGCAGTAGATGATTGTGTGCCGCTAGGCAGGGCAGATCCTTCAGCTTGCAGGCAACATGATTCGAGGGCGGATAGAACAGATCCAGTGTGCAATTGCAATAGCTCAGCATGTAGTGCTGCTGGCACTCGGCCTGGCAATTCTCCAGCATATACTTAAAGCCCAACAGTGTGAGAAACTGTTTGCTATCCTGTTCGTAGTCCATCAGGCACTCCCGTTGATTGCTGTCCAGTGAATATGTGCCGCTATCGTAGAAATGGTAGACAGCACTGAGGCCGATGTTGAGGTCCGCATGAGGGGGCACATTCCTGGGAAAGCCGGTCCAAACACCTGGTTCCACAACATCCAGCTAAGCGAATATAGGATAGGATTTGTTATGGATATTAGATCTGGTTCAAGGCGTTAAAAGTTGTCGAGGTGCTCTCGGCTATACGCACCACAAAACCCTTCGACTCTCTATTGGCCGGCGCATGCCTGTCCGCATTCAGCATCACACGAAAACTTATGCCCGTCCCCAAGCCCGTCTCTGCGCTCGGTCGCTTCTCCAGCTCGTTGAACGCGAAGCAGGGACCTTGGGGCAGCCGTCGTGGCCGAAAGAGCTCGCAGCAATTCTGAGCCATCGTATGCCAGCTGCACTCTCTGAACATTTCATCACAGCGCCAAGCCATCTCAATCACGATCTGTGTGAAGTTTAGATGATTGAGCGTTTCTAGGGGCTCTTCCCGCAGACTCTCAAAGACATCCAGATGCGATGTCGTGACGGCATCAAATGCCGTTAGCGCTCTCTCCACCAAAGGCAGCTCTGCATCGCTGATGTTATAGCGTTCTCTGATCTCCGGCAAACGGGACCAGTTCAAGTGATTCTTGTTGCACACCAGAATCGCTGGGAAGGCAATGTTCACAATGGGCCAATGCGAATCATCGACGATCGTATGAAACTGTTTGCGCTGATGTCGCTCTGCCAGCAGATACGTAACATAGATGAGCACGATTAGGGCACAAAGCAGCGCCAGGCTCCACAGCAAACTGAGCACCAGAACAGAGCAGTTGTTGTTGTTGTTGCATGAGAGAATTTGCCTAGTTCAATACACTCACCGCATGCGCCGTCGCATCGTGGGCCAAAAGAGCTGATAGAAGCCATGTATATGCGAGCCAATCGAATAACGTCTGATTAGGTCTATCCATTCCGGCTCACAGTTCGACTTCCGCTGCTGTTGCTGCTTCCAGGCAGCTATCCGCGTTCGATTCCGCTTCACTTTTCTCACTTGGTTGATGAACATGTTGTGAGTTTGGAATGTCAGTAGGTCAAGTCTTTTATATCGTAGTTTTCGCTCATTTCCAACTAAAGCTGATTACTCTTCCCTCACGAGCAAGGGCCTAACAGCAGTGATATAGTGTTGGAATAACCAGCTTGAGCTGGCTTAATCATGCTAGAGTTGACTTTCAGATTTCAATTTGTTAAGTGAAATGAAATGAAATTCATTTATTACCACTCATGAATCCTTGTTATATAAATTCTTTAAATTTTTTCTCAGCTTACATATCCTTTTTGCCGGAAAGAGCATACGTAAATCATTCTTATTTAGTTAAACAAATCTTTCGTTTATCTCTGTTTGCAAATCATTTGGCATTGATTGCAATCGATTCGGTTGACAAAAAGTTTGTCCAATTAGCTGGACATTTTGACCTATAGACATGCACATACATATGTATTTATGTGAGTATTGACGTGTATAGAAAATACATTGATGCAAATCATGTCAGGTCACTTGGGACCTTAGGGCGGCAATCGCTTTGTCTGACTTGACCCTGGTGGAGAGCACGTTTAATAGGCGTTTAACACGTTAGTGGACACGACATTGCCAAGTATCTAATTATCCCAAAGACCATTCCTGCACGCAGAGCTATAAAAGACTGGAAATGCGCTTGCAACTGATTCAGTTGTTAACCAGCCATGACATTGGCATATTTACCGCCGGCGCGTTCATTGCAAGTGCAGCCGCGCTCTTTGCCGCCCGCCCGCAATGCAGTGCTCCGTCAGCTGGGCCAGGCCGCCTGGCAGCTGGCCATGCGCTTTGGCAAGCGCACCACGATCCATGGACTGGACAAGCTGCTGGCAGCACAGGCCAGCCGCTCCGAACGCTTCGTCTGGCTGTGCACATTCATTTCGGCATTTCTGGGCGCCGTCTATGTGTGCCTGATACTGTCGCAGCGCTACAACGATGGCAACTTTCAAACTGTTGTGGATAGCACGCGTTATCCGGTCTATCGTATTGCATTTCCGGTCATCACCATATGCAATCACAATCGCCTGAATTGGCAGCGTTTGCCCCTGGCCAAGCAGCGTTTTATGGCCAATGTCAGCGATGTGGCGCAGCTGAAGCTGTTTGAGCGCATCGTCAGTAGCTTTGATGCCATGTCCTTTGGCCACTTTGAGTCCTTTGAGCAGCTACGCAACGAGCCAACGCATCAGCTGAGCCACATCAACTTCAGCCACGTCGTCGACTTCATGACCTGGAAGTGCGATGAATTATTGACCGACTGCAAGTGGCGGAAATTCCCGCACGATTGCTGTGAGATCTTCTCCAAGCGACGCAGCAAGAACGGCCTCTGCTGGGCCTTCAATTCACTGGAAACCGTTGAGGGCAAACGCATGCAACTGCTGGATCCCTTGTGGCCCTGGCGCACCGGTTCCGCCGGACCCATGAGCGCCCTCTTTGTGCGTGTGCTCATACAGCCGGACAAGCACTGGCCGGGCCGTGTTAATGAAAAGGCCATCGATGTCATGGTCACGGAACCCTATGTCTGGCACAAGGATCCATTTCGTATACCCGCCGACACGGAAACCACGCTCGAAATCGAGCCGACAATTTACTTTTACGACAACGAAACACGTTCCGTCAGCTCTGATCAGCGCCAATGTGTGTTTGATGTTAGTTTTCAATGTTTCCTGTTGCCATTTCCTGTTGTTCATTTTATTTCACACACTGTTGCAGGAAATTCGATATGAAAATGAATTTTTAATAGAGATGAAGGTCTCTCTATTTCTCTTATATACTAGAATATCAAATTATCATTCATTTAGATTGTAGTACGACTAGTCAACTAACTAATTTTGTGTAGGCAATTTTAACATGTGGATTTTATTTGAAGCACTGTTGCACAGAATAGTTGAAAGAAAATATGAAAGTGAAGTATATACAAAATATTACATGGAAATATCTATGTAGGACTGGTAATAGGTAAAATGTTGATGTCACTGAGGCTCATATAATGATACATGTGTAATGATAGTTCATTGGAAATAATGTTCACAATGAACTGTAGATCTGACTGACAGGGCAAGTGATTATTATGTAAGTAACAAAGGTCGTTTAAGTTGGGAGTGTTCGGCTGAGTAAGTGAATTTCTTATGCTCTCTTTATACGGAATTAGGGAATATGTTAACGGTTAAATGTTTATGTAAATAGATTGGGATTAATTGTTTTGGTTGGTTGATTTGTTCGGAATTTTATGTTTTATGTTTTATATTTACTCATAATGTCATTATTCCTGACTGATGTAAAATCATATGATTTTTACTTATTCATTCACTTATAGACTCATTTTATGAGATACAAAGCAGCTGTTTATGATTTCTGTAATATTCATATAATTATAATAATGAGATGAGGGTTTGTTAGTTTTTCATGTTCATTTCTAGCTGTTTTATTCACCTAGAATTAGGTTTACTGTAACCAAAATTTTCTTTGAATTTATATAATTTGTTGTCCACTCAAGCCAAATGTATTCTCAAATCGTAGATATTCTCACATTGAGAGAGTCTTTTTTGAAAATTCAAACTGATTCAGAAAACATTCTTTCTATTTTAACATTTAGTCAAATGGAATCAAATAATTTCCCATCCTACACACTTTAACAACACTCCACATTTTCGTTCTTTGTGGAATGAAAACCAACTTATCAAACTTATTATCACATATATATTTTACATATATTAATAAAATTTATTTTTTTTTTTTCATTGACCCTTTAAATTTTGCATTTTTATTGCAGAACGAGCGCAATAGCCGCGACTTCAAGTCACTGCTGGGCTACATTTACATGATTGAGAATTGCCAATCGGAGTGCCATCAGGAGTACTTGGTGCGCTACTGCAATTGCACAATGGACTTGCTTTTTCCGCCGGGTAAGCACGTTCGACTTGACCGACAGTCACACTTGAAATTGTGGTCCATTTGCAGGGCAGTATCGCTCCTGTCGCGCCCAGGATTTTAATTGCCTGGCGGAGCACAATGGTGCGTAGCAAACATGCCAAACTTTTACTCTGCCAAGGGTCACTTCTAATTTCATACACACACAAACACACACACACTCATATATAGATAGGCTACTCTATTCGTATCAGCCGGGCGAGGAGCGTTTCGTGCGCAGCAATTATGAGGGCATGGTCTGCAAATGCTTTCGCAACTGTTACTCGCTGAACTACATCAACGATGTGCGTCCGTCTTTTCTGCCGCCGGAAGTGCTTGGCAATTCATCATATGTGGACTTGGATGTGCACTTCCGCTTCGAGACCATGATGGTCTACCGCACCAGTTTGGTATTTGGCTGGGTCGACTTAATGGGTTAGTAAATGTCACAGAATCACAATCACAAGCAGACGCAAAAAGCGAAACAAATCGAAATCGAAATGACTGAGTGACCCATTGGACATTTTTTATATCTTTGATTTGGTTCCTTTTTTATGAATAGCAGTTTCTATTTTCTAATGAACTTAATTATATATCCAGCAATGACTAATAGTTTTTATTTTCTAATGAATTTTTTCATCTACTCAATGAGTAATGGCTTCACATTTTTTTTAATAAATTTAGTTATTTATCAATAAAAATTAGTTTAACGCATCGACATACAAATATTTATTTATAGCATTTTTTTTTATTTAATAGAAAACAAAATTTTTTTTATACTTATTTTAATGTTCATCTTAAATTAACTAAAGATAGCAAGTTAAATTGAGCTTAAGAGAAAATTGATATTAATTTAAAAAATTCAAAATAGTATAATAAGAACAAAGAAAATATTATAAAAACAAATAATTAAAAAAATTAATAAAGATGAAAATGATTATTATATATAATATAACTTTTATTATATAATAATTATTTTGATGCTAAAATAAAATTAACTAAAGTTATTAATATTATTTTATTTTCTTTTATTTTTTTATTTGATAAATAAATAAAGTCATAAAAATCTTCATATATATATCATTTAATTTATATTGCATATTACACATAATTTTTTATTTTTTATTATAGTATCCCTAAATTTATATATTAAATATTTGCAAATGATATAAGATATAAGCTAACAATTTAAAGCAATATTTATTTGCTTAAAAGCATTTGAAAAAATCATTGCCAACAGTTTCCAATTAATTCAAGTCAAATACGAGTCGAGTTAAATTATTTAAATAAACCAATCAATTATAAATTTGTCAGCAATATATACATAGTACATCAAATTCATTATTTGACATTGACATTGCCTCAATCAATACATCTCTTATTCTATTTCAATTTCAGTTAGCTTTGGAGGCATTGCCGGCCTCTTTCTGGGCTGTTCGCTCATTAGCGGCATGGAGCTGGTCTATTTTCTGTGCATTGAGGTGCCCGCCTTTGGCATTCGGGAACTGCGTCAGCGTTTGCTTGCCAAACGACGCATGGATACGGCCGCAGCCACGCCCACAATAAATTTGCGACAAAATATGCCCAGTCAGCTGGAGCAGTACATAATGCAGCTGAAAGTGGAGCAGGCGGCACAGAAGCCAACATCTCAATTTCAGAAGTGGCAGCGTCAAACGTTTACCCATAAACATGTTATTAGCAAATGAATAATGTACACAAATAAAATATATGCTTGCGCTTTAACTGATGCGAACTCGAGGTCGGCCCAAGTGACTGCAAGCCACAGTCACTGCCACAGCTGGGAAACCAACAAACAAATTGTGCTCATTTTTCAGGCTCGCTGTGCGCTCGCATAGACACGACCTGGCTGAGTAGGTCTTGCAGTTGCCCCAAGGGATGGGATGGGATGGGATGGCTTGAGGAGTTTGGGCTCAGGATCGGTTGTACGTTGTAGCCGCACGTTGACAGCTTCATTGCCAGACATTGTTAATCAAAATTGAGGTTAAGTCGTGCTCCCAAGCGGTGCGCCGAGGCAACTTTTGCAGTTTATTGAGACATTTACTTGACTTGCCGAGAGTCAGGCTGGAGGTCCCAGAACCTCTTTGCAATTAAGCATAGTTTGTTTGTTTGTGTGGCTGTTGCTATTGCTGTTGCTATTGTCTGCGGCAGTTGCGGTAGGTCAGGCAGCCATGAGGGCCAGTCTCTGCGGGTCGTTGCGATTGGGCTTGACTTTAAGCAAACATTATTTAGTCTTTTTTCTACGTCAACGAGGGCGTATGTGTAATTTTATTTATACAACGCATGCAGCCACCCACACTTTAAAGGCATTTCCACATAAACTACCCCACGTGAATTGTGAATTGTGCGGCCACAAAATAAAAGTCACAGCAGGCAATCATTTTTCATTTGAATGTCGCGACACGAATATTATATACTACGCAGCAGGCATGTCGACGAGTGGGAGCGGTAAGTGAACTGTTTGAGCCATAATTCGAGTCGCAGAATAAGAAGAAACATTCAATATGTTCAGAACGGGTCTAAATGCGCTTTAGTCAAAGGCCATGTATTGTAGGGCCTCTGTCTTTGGCTTTATATAGTCAATAAATGTACTTAATTATGTATTTTTATACTCATTCATTTAACATAGAGATATTGAAAAAGTTTTTTTTTTTTTTTAATTTGTTAAAAAAAATTAAGGCATTTAAAAAACATATTTTAGTAGAAATGAAACTAAAACTTTCCAGTAAATGTCTTAGCAAACAAAAACAAAATTTTAAAATAAATAATAATAAGAAATATAGTTCAGCAGCAGTTTAAGCTAACAATAGTACAAATTTTACAAAAATGTATAAATGAAGTCTATTTTATTCAGTACACATATTCTTATTTAAAAAGTATAATATTATTTATTCAAAAAATCTTGAAAATATAATTTGTATATGGGTTGACCAAATATGATTCATATTATTTATCTCAATTTTTAAAATTTAGCAGCATTCATAAACTATGCCAATTTATTAATAATATAATTATTATTTAATAATATTTATAGAATTAATATATTAATTATGTGGGCTGATTAAATAAGATTGATAATATTTCTGATGCATATATTTCAGTGGTTTTTTAATTAATCCAGTTTTAAAAAATATTTGTAAGAGATGCCATTAAAGAAATTAATTGAAAAATGCGGAATGCAGGAATTTTTATATGAGATATTAGACGACTCAGTCAAGTTGCTTTATTTATAGATATATTCAAAATGTCTACTGTAATCGAAATACCCCAAAAATTATAGGGTGCACGCAAATATTGCACATACGCCTGGTAAATTGGCTGCCTTCATGCCGCACAACAGGTCGCATAATTCTCGCTGTGCGATCAAGCAAAAAAAATAAAATTTTAAAAAATATGTACACATGTGTGTATGTGTGTGTGTGTGTGTGTAATCACATCAAGACTTATAGAAATTCAATGTCTGCGTGCATGCGAAAATAACTGTAATTGATTACCGAATTAGTTGCGCACGAGCAGACAGAAATCAAGCCAAAAACATGGCCAAATATGTGCTATAAAATATTATCACATTTGATTTTCGTCAGTCAATAGCAGCGATAGAAGGGCCAACAGGCAGGTAAAGACAGGAGCCTTCAGTTAGTCAGTCATTCAGGCTTGCCAGCAAGTCGTGGAAAATCGAAGTTGTTAAAATATTTTCGCTGTCAGGCAGTATTTGGCGTAGTTACGCTCAACTTGTCAAATTGTGTTGCACTGCAATCGACGGGTGGGCGGGGGAGGGGTACGCAACTGGGTGGCATGCGCAGGACAAGCAGAAACAGAAGTGGCTAAACTTTGCCATAGGCCTGCCTCCCAATGAATGTCAAAAGAGAATTTAAAGTTTTGGCCCAACGCCAACGGCGGCTGTCAAAGTGGCAAATGCTTAACGTATTCATGACATAATCTGACACAGTGTGGCAACACATGTGCCACACAAGAGGCATGCCACAACTTCTGACAGCATTCACACATGACATATAGCTCTTAATGTGATCAACGAAAAAAAGAAGAAGAAAAGAGAAGAATATGCGCTAATGTTTGGTAATTAAAGTAATTGCAATTTCGAAACAAGCATGCAAAACAACTGACAAGCACACACACACATATATATATGTATATAGCAATTCATGCCAAGTACAGTTGCCTCAAAGCACACATTTACGCCTAATTGATTTATGGCAGCCCACAGCTGTCATTATGCACATGCATATGAATATGGTAATGCTGTCTCTGGACCTCGGCCACCCATAATTGCAAGCACTTGTTAGTTAATTAAAAATGCAAATAAGCCACGCTTGTCCATTGAAAGTTTTACAGTCACTGGCTCGTGTGTGTAGCATGCTCCCCCCTCTCTCTCTCTCTCTCTCTCTCTCTCTCTCTCTCTCTCTCTCTCTGCACCTCTCCCATTTCATGTTTCTCCCTCTCTCTGCCGTCGCAGCGTTAATCGAGCGAGACAGATTTCGCAATTTAAACTTTAGCCATCACACACACAGAGACAACATGAAAATCTGAGCGCAAACACGGAGAACGAACAAACAACTTATGGTTGCACTAAATATGGTGCATGGCCTAAGGGCTATAATGGGATTTCAACTGTGTTATTTGATAAAACTAGACAAAAATTACACATAAATCAAAATCAAGTTGAATTGCATAACATTTTTCCGTTTGAATATATTAAATAAATTATTAAAATAATAGAAAATTAGTTAAAGGTTGCGTACTTTTCAGACTTAATGTAGGAACAGAATTAGATTAGATTCATCATACAATATGTTAGCTTATCTATATGCGTATATGAGATATACAATGATAGAAAAAAGCTTTCAAGACCGAGGTAAGAAAATTGTAGACGTCTTGGATATATCCACTATTTTTGGTTACAGTCGGCAGTATTTTCTATAGAACTCTTTTACCTGTACTACGTAAATATTATTAGAGCCAATGTGTAGTAAAACAAAGTATATATTTATCTTACATATAAATAATTACATAATAAATTATTGTAAAGTATATAATACATAATACGATGACTATATACGAAAAAAAACATTATATAAAACAAAGTTTGTTACTTATTATTTTTATTAAAAAATATATATATTTGTATTATTTAATATACCTTTTTCGTTCAATATGTAAATTATTATTTATTTATTTTATTAAAATTATATTTTGTGTTTTATTTATCTATTTATTTTATTTTATTTTACTTATTTACTAACATACAATTATTTTTTCACTTATTTAAATATAAAACAATACAAGCAAATCCTTCTCATTTATATAAAACAATTTTAAAATTTAAAATTTATATTTTACATTTTTATTAAACAAGAATTTTTCAAGCAAAAAATAAATACTATAAAAAAAAGTAATATGGCAAAATAGAAATAAGATGAATTTATGTCAAACGCTTTATATACATATATATTTTACAATATTAATAAATAAAAATATATATAAAAAGTTTTGATCCTTCGTTGATTAACTGTAGCTTACATCAACGTCCTTTGTTGTCGCAACACCATTTTTTTCTGTTATCAGGACTAGCAAAATGCTGGCCAATAAGGTCTCAAGCATTGCCCCAAAGTAAATGTTAATGGTGTCCATTTTAACGTTAGCAGGTGAGAGGTAATTACCTTGGAAAATGAAGTTAAAGCTGCGCGCAGACAGGTGAAAAAAACGTACAAAGCTGAGCTGACAAAAGGTAACAGCTTAACTTACGGCTGACTCATGGCCAGCTCACTTATTATGCCGAAATTTGCTGCTTCTTTTGGCCAAGTCATCGGATGGAAAGTTTTAATTAAAAATGTCCCCAAATATATACATATATGTTTGATATACATATTTACAATACAAGCGTATTTCATCTCCAGGTATTGAGTTGCCCAAATCAATAGCCGTGGAACCGGCTAATAAGGCACAATACGTCTTTTAACAAGCCCAGCAACGAGCAGAGATTTGACCTTAGTAATGCTGGCCCACTCCACACCTGGGCAACATGTCCCAATTATTTTGTATCACTGGAGCTGAAAACGTACCACACGCACAGCCGCAACATTTAATAAGCCACACGATACGAAGTAGAGCGAGAGAGAGAGAGAGAGAAAGGGAGAGAGAGTGTATATCTATGGTAACGGACAAGTCGTGTGTCATGAATAATTATGCAACAAGAGACATAGAATCATGTGATGTGCTTGCAAAGTAAAAGAGCGAAATTAAAATACTCTAAAAGCAGCTTGAATGCCTGATGTGCTTCAATTAAGCATAGTCAAAGATATATCTATATCCATATAAATCAATATGTTCAAATATAGAAAGAAAATTTTGAATGCCTGATGAACTTTAGTTAATTATAGCCAAGGATATCTAAATACATATATATCAATTTATTAAAATATACTAAAAAGAGAATCGTGAATGCCTAATGAATTTCAGTTAAGTATAGTCGCGGATATTTATCAATATCAACATATTAAAATATATAAAGAAAATCTTGTATGCCTAATGTGCTTCAGTTAAGTTTAGTCTAGAATATCTATAGCATATATATCAATAAAAATTTTGCCATAAAAACCTCACATAATTTAGACCTTTCTAGGCTCACATCAAAGCCTTTCCTACAGCTGAGCTACCTTTAGGCTTCACT